TTGGCCTCAGAATTTGGTGTTCTTTCTCTGATGATTGGTTTCGGGTCGTCTGGCTTGCTGCACCTTTTTCTATAAAACTTATATGCAACAAACAACATTATTAGTATTAGAATAATGTAAATTAAGATTGACCATCCATCAATATGTTGAAACGTTATTAATTCTGTTTCAGATAAATCAATTTTTTGTTTGCTTATTTCTAAAGCACTTCTAACTGCACTTATTTCGTTCAAGTCTAAATTGTCCAATGTTAAAGGTATGATTTCTTCTGGGTCTTCTCGTGTGAAATTAATAAAGTCTATTTTTGGTAGAGCAATGTTTTCATATTTCTGCACGATATTTCCGAGATTTCGTAAAATATTGTTTCTAATTTTTAGTTCACAATTTTCGTTTAGTTCGATTAAGAAAGTTCCTTTTAATGGAATGTTTTCTTTGTTGTTCCCGCACTTTTAAACTGCGACTATTGTTTCAGGGCTTGCTAGGATCCATTTGTTAGATTCTAGTTTTTTGATTTTTTCGTGGTTGACGTTCACAGGAATCAGTCGACAATTTGGCAGATTCTTCGAGAATTTCAGTAGTTGGATTTCCCATGGGGAGTCTTCTGTTGATTGTAGTGGATTTTCTTCTTGGCAAATGAACTCTTCAGGAACTACTTCTTTGGATTCTTTATTTGAAAAGAAGTGGTGCTGCTCATTTGAAATTCAATATTTTGAATGCGGAATTCCTATTTTAGAAGAGTTATTATTGAATACTGGTAACTCTTGTAGTAATTCATTTGGGTTGATGATGGAGTTGTGCAAGCTATTAATTTTTGCAAAAGGTATGGTGGTTTCTAGTTTTTCTAGAATGTCATAAATTAATTGAAATTCTGTTACTAATTGGGATATTATCATTTCGATGAGGAAAAAGTAGTAAGTTCCAATACTTTCTACTTCCATAGTTTGGAGAAGTCCTTCAATTTCATTTATTAGCCGTTTTAATAGTAACTGATTTCTTGTCAGGTTTTGAATGTTGTTCTGAAAAATTTCGATTGATTTTTCAAATAGTGTTATTTGACCTTTTACTTGAGTTTTAATTTAATGTTGATTGCTGGATAATATTTCTATTGCTTTTTCGTATTTTTGAGCATCGTCTTGGTCTAAGTTTCCGGTAATTGCTTTTACAATAGAACCTAGAGCATTGATTAGTCCACGTTTTTGTCTTGTATTGTACAGGGGGTTTATCTGATAGGTGATTTGTGTGGTAATTTAATTTTCAAGTGTTTGGGCTAGGTTATACGAGTTATGAAAAGCTTTCTTGTAGCTAAGTCCAATTGTTGTTTTATTCTCGAATTTATTTTTGATTCTTTCATTTTGAATTTGAAGATTATGGAATTCTTTGATTAGGTTGGTTATATCGAAAACTTGGAAAAATGTCCATGAGTCTATAGTTTTTTGTGCGCTTCCTAATTTTAGGGGTAAAAGTCCTGGGTTGTTTGATATGTCATGGAATTCTGACGATTCACTTAGGGCATGAGTGGTGATTCTGAAATAAAACGAG